TTCCATCTCAAAGTCACTTTGTGACTCATGTGCCTCAGCGCCAGCCGATCCTGCCGTCAAACGCAGGAGACTGCCAACATTCCCAGCCTCATCTACATCACTCTCAGAAGTCTGCACGCTTAGCAGCAAAGCGATGTCCAAGGCGCAGGAAACTGAAAGAGCAAATGCATTGCCAGCAAGATCCGCACATTGATTGTCTGTGAAAAGGGATAGGCTTGGCAGGCTCTCAGCTGGGCATCCCTGCAGCCTAAACAAATCCCTGCCGGTCATAAACCTTTGCTCACCAAAATGCCACAATCGGCACTGTGGCAAAACAGTAGGTGACTCTTGGTGATTTGAATTACGGGCTCGATTTACATTCTGGGAACTGTCTACCCACATGCATTCAGGGTCCACCGCAGCAAAACAAATGATCTCCTTCTCTCGCTGTGGACAAGTTGCAAGCCATTCATTCTCAATCAGGTTCTTGGGCACAGGCGGCGGCCAAGAGACATTCAATTCCTCGGCCCTGTCCATGTGTGCATGGATCCATTTGACGTCCTGACATACGGTTCGGAAGCAAATGACTTGATAGTCCAGAAAGAAAAACAATACAATTTACAATCAAACAAGCCAGTGGGTCACAACGGGGTTGGTAGACAAAAATAACAGTAGATAGTTGTGAGAGTGTGTCAAGTTGATTGTAAATTGTAAATTCTCTCAGTCTGAGTTTTCGTGTTGGTCTAGTCTTCTCTCTTCAGACTCTTCACTACACAAAACCACCCAACACTGAGTGATTGACTAAGTGTCCTTGTGATGTCCCTCAATGTCAGCCTTTTTGTCCAGCTCTTTTCGTGCTTCTTGGCGTCTCTGTAGTTCAGCCAATAGTGCTGAGCTCTCCTTTGGAAGAATTACTTTCTGGATAGGCAAGGCAAGTGTTCTCAGCATCTTAGTTTAAAACACTATCTATCATTCATTCAACCAATAGTAACTTACTAATCAGTAGTAATTAATAGACATCGTCATAGTCATAGTCGTTTGTAGTCATGAGTCATGAGTCATAGTCATGAGTCATGAGTCGAGTCATTAGTAGAGTCATTAGTAATTAGTAAATAGATAGTATTATTAAACAGTATGAAGTCATGAGTCATGAGTCATAGTCATGAGTCATGAGTCGAGTCATTCGTAGAGTCATTAGTAATTAGTAAATAGATAGTATTATTAAACAGTATGAATATGAATATAATAAAACAATATATAAACAGATTCATCTATGTTTGGATTGGTCTTTGTCACTTGTACATGTTCCGCTTGTTTCTTGTAGCTAAACCATCGAATCATTGACTGATTGATCATTTGGTCCAACAAGCAGACACACATTAGTCCTTCTTTGGGGCAATATGTAGTCGTGGGAGCTGAGCGTGAACACTTTGACAGAGTACATGCCTCCATCGATGGACTCCAACTCCGAAACCACTTTTTGCAAGTTGCTGTCATCTTTGGTCTCTGATCCAATGGAGTCGACATTCTCTAGAACCACAATCTTTGGGTGAACCTTGTTGATGACACCGAGTGTTCCATAGAACGTTGCAACTGAGCAGCTTGTATGGTCTGGATTTTTCATAGCCAACTGAAACTCATGGAACTTCACATTCATTCGGGAATTGCCTTTGCAAGAGAAACCACTCTTCAAGATGAATGTGCCTTGGGCTTGACATAGACACTTTTTGTTGCGCTGCACACAAAAAGATTCCACTCGAGGCTTTTTTGAATTGGACTCAGCTGAGACAGTCTCAGCAGCATCCATAGCTTCACCATCAGCGTCATCGCTGGCACCCAGTGCAACCACATCATCAAAGATGCATGTTGTTGTGCTGTCAGGCAAGATGTTCTTGGTGAGCCATGATTGCTTCCACTGCTCCTTCTCACAGCAAAAGGATACACTCGGATGCAAAGGCTGGAGGAACTCCTCAGCAATTGCATTGACTGAAGCCTTCCAAGCAATCTCACCAGCGCCAGACCCTGAGCAAAGTGAACCCATGACAATGTTTGAAGGCAAAAGGGGTGATAGACGGAAGTCTCCCATCTTCTCACGTGCAATTTTCACAAAATAGGCAGCAATATTGGTGTGAAAGTTGCCCATGTCAAGCGTGCCATCTTGCGTGAAGAAGTGGTCAGGAAGAACATTACTACACTCTGGCTTTGTATTTTCATTGACGACATCGTCATCACATGGTTCTTCCTCTTCTTCCCCTTCATGTTCCGAATTATCATCATGATCATGATGCACAGGGTCATCACCATCAGGAGAACCAGGCTGTTGCTGATTTTTTTCTTGCTGAAGCAGCGAGCCCACTGTAGCTGATTCAGCATCAGCATCGGCCTCTTGAAGCTCAGCCTTCACCTTTGCTGCTGCCTCTGACTTCACTTGACCGTCTTGACCCAAGGTTGCCTCAGCTGTGGATGTTGAAGCCGACTCCAAAGCATTCTGGTTCATTGCATTCTTGTCCTGAGAACTTGCAGAACTGGACTTCTGTGCTGCATCATTAGCAACCTCATGTTGCTGTGCTTCATCATGAGTGCAAGATGGTCCGCTGTAGCCGCTGTAGCTGCTGTAGCCCATCATCGCGGTGAGGTCATAAGGTGGATGCTCTCCTATCGACTTCACAAAGTTGTGGAAGTCAATGAGGTCCTGCAGAGGATTGCCAAGAAGAAAACCAAAATCCCATGCTCGATAGGGACCGAACTTGTCTTGGAACTTGTGAAAGGCATTGTGGGATTTCGCTGCCTCAAGTGCTTCAATCATTGTGACTGGGGTCTTCTTGAGCTCAGAATGGCTCACCTTCTCAATGTTCACCCCAGAACCACTGTCACCGGTTGGCTTTGCCTGCTCGGTATGATCATCATTTCCTCCCAAAGAAGCGGCCTCAGCATCGGCATTGCCAGTGCTGCCAGAGTCATTGCTTTTGAAAGCATTGCCTGGGTCAGGTGAGTCAGGAGTCATAGTTTGCATAGTGAGCTTGTCATTCCCTGAAGAAGTTCCCAAGGTATCTTGCTGTCTAGCAGCCACTGTGTCAGCGTTCTCTGTAGCTGCCTCCTCTGAAATGGAAGGTGAGCTTGGCTTGACAATCACAGCGCTTGGTGCAGTGGCATCATCAGGTGCTGAACTTTGGTCTGCAGAAGAGGGTCTTGCATCCTCATCCATCCTATCAAGTTCACCACTTTGTTCTGCTTGATCTATCAATGTCTCCAATGCAAGCTCCAATCCACCAACCTCAGGTTGGTGTTCTTCTTTTGGTGTAATTGTCGGCTGGGTTGATGCACTGAGCCAGTCTGTTCCTGTCGCTCAAACATTTCATAATTCATAACGTTATTTATTTCTTGTTATCGTCGTCCATATAAATGTCCATGCTGTTTGTCTACCTCATCAAAATCACTGATCATTGAGTGATCAGATCGAACCAAATCGAATCATATTAATTGTTTCAAACAGTATGTAACATGTTTGTTGTCAATGTTTATATACAATCAAATCAATGTCAGTAGACTAGACTACACTATATCATTATATCAAACAAAATATTATACTAAAATTAAACATAGATAAATGTCAATTTCAAAAACGATGTCAGCAAACAAACCCAAGTCCTGGTCAGGCTTTGGAACGAGAGGCAAAGGATTCGGCTTGTTGAAAAGATATTGCGTCACCTTCTGCTGCCCATGAGGAGGAGACATATCGAATGCACTGACATCATCGGATTTGCTTGTCCGCCTCCGTTTCCTGCCTGGATTCCCATCAGCCACATCAGCAGGAGTCATGGGTGGAGGAGCTTTGGGACTCGGCTGCGGCTTTGGCTGCGGCTTTGCCTTCGACTTCCCTTTTGCTTTGGGAGTAGGAGGAGGAATGATAGGCTTCGGCAATGGAGGCTGTGCCTTAGGTTTTGGCCGCCTGGGTTGAGTCTTCGCTGCCTTTGGTACAGGAGGAGGAGTGGAAGCAGCTCTCTTTCCCATGGTTGATCCAAAGTGACCAGAAAACTGAGGTCTTCCCAGCACTGGTGTTCACAAGTAATAGTTAGTTAGTAAAATAACATTTAGTAATAGTCATAGTCAGAGTCATAGTCTTAGTAGTAATAAGTAATAATAGTAGTATTTAGTAGTACTTGTCAATATCTCAATACATGTTTGTATGTTGATAAGTTCACTTGTCAACTTGTCAGTGTCTTCTCAAGCGTATGGTCCTGGTATGTTGTCAACCATCCTGACACTGGTAGAACCACGCAGCGCCAATAGATAATAAAACAACTGCTTCAAATGCATGCGCATGCTCAGATGTGCCAGTATCAGCCGCTACTGTAACTTCACTGACATCAACTGCAAACTGTCAGCTGAGAGATTGCAGTCTTGTTTTCCAACAGAGCAGCTTTGCTGCACTCTTCTGTATGTCTATGTTGATGATGACTCTTGACGTCACCCCCCCATTCAGGCAATTGGCAAAAAGGCAAAGAGCGACCCAAGCAATCCTTGCCATAGCCAAAGCCCTTTTTTGGTGCTGGCCACTTTTTCAGCCTGCACTGTAAGAACTGGCTTTGTCATGGTCGTTTTTGTTAAGTCATAGTCATAGAAACATAGATCATATACTCATAGAAAAGAACATATTAATAGTGTATGTTTCTTGTTGCTTTGTTGTAGCAGTATGTGAGTATGTGTTAACATGTGGCAAATACAAATAAAGATAAATCAGCGGTTGTTTTGTCCAGTTTTAGATTCAGGCATGGCATGGCCCATGGCAGTCTGGCATATTCCAGCACATTGCACCCTGTACTGCCTGTACTGTTCTTTGCTCGGGATATTTCCAATTCGACTTTCACTTCCTAGTGTGACCATACACGAAACATTGCAATCATTCACTCAGACTTCAGACATCTGATATGATATCAGACAGTCCTGCTGAATGATGATCCATTCCATTCTTGTCTTGTGAAAAAAAGACACCGCTAGCAACCATGCACTACAGCAATTAATCACTGCCCTGAGTCCACCTCAATGCCTGCGCGCTTCAGCATCTCAGTGGACCTTGCCAAAAGGGAATCAGGCAATGCGATGCGATCGTTCTTCACCGACTTGAGTGCAAAGTTCAAGTCCTCGACCAAGCGTGCAGCTCTGCTGTCTTTTTTGTTCACAGCCTCTGGGGTTACAGTCTTCCACAATGGACTGTGCAGGATTGTAACCACAGTGAAAGAGTAGACAAACAGCCGTCCAATGTCCAATGCATCTTTGACTTCAGACATGTCCGGTTCCAGGCCAGCAATCTCAACGCAGCACTTCTGAACAGCAGCCAGAAAGGACTTGATCTTGCTGACCAAGTTCGAAGCTTCTGCAACTTTCTGGCAAGAAAGCAGTTGTTTGTCTTTCTCATGCTCTTCAATGTTTGAGTCATCATTGTACTTTGGAAGCTTCATGGCCAAGATATTCTTCGCAAAGAGGTTGGCTTGGTTCTCAACCTTCTCCACCAATTGGCAAGTAGAATCATTGTAGCAAGTCTCAACGGTCCGGAAAAGGTCATCCAAATCAAATGGGATCGTATTGTATGCAGTCAACATCTGCGCAGCTGCCCCATGCTTTGCACACTTAGCCATTGTCTTCTCCATTTCACAAAGGCAAGTCAGCATAGACATAGTATGACTGGTAGGGTTTGGCGAAATCTTCAAAGGCCCCTCCTTCTCTGCTTCCCGGTATTTGGAACCTTAACTTTACGCAGTCTCTACAAGAAATCAGCCAATATCAATATCAAATTAATATAAAATACTATATAGTTATAATATATATATCTATTGTTGAGAAATAGAACATAATTGTATAGCATTGCTGAACATCACAATTCCAAACGCTAAAAATCAAAAGACGAACAATAACAATAATATCATCCTCGTGAATCTGACTACACTAGACCTAGCTACCTTGAAGTGGCTTGCAAACATTAAAAAACCTCAGATACAGATACAGTTACAGACATGACATGTCCTAAATTAGGCCAGCTGACAGTGAAAGATAGCTGAGTAGAAGATATCAGCTGCTTCTCCAAATCTTGTCATCTGCGCTCGGTCATCTGATGAAAAGACCTCAGCAGTACTAAGCCGCAAGTAGTCGTCAATGTTTGATCGGAAAGTTCGCCAGGAAGTAGTGTTCGTGGTAGGCGCATCTTTAATGACATGGTTGATAGAGCTAATGATGTCATTCATGATCGCTATGTTTTTGTCACAAAAGCCCTGCTGCATCTTCTCGAAAAAGCATGCCTTGAACTCATTCATGGGGTGACAAAGCTTTGCAAAGGGAAGGTTCTTCTCAGCAGACTCATGACACACCGTCCACACTTTCATCAAGTTGTGTGCTGTCTCAAGAGACATAGCATCCTTCTTGTCAGTTGAATTGTGAAGCACATCATTCAATGCTTGGCAACACTGAACCAAGTCGTCATGGATCCTGCATGCAGCATACACTCACATAATTCAATCTGAGCTACGTCGCACTGAGTTGGGTAGTAGTATCAATTTTGTTTATTGATATGACAGATATGATATGATATGTCACATATGTCATGAATCCATGAATTATGACTCATGACTCATGACTCATCATGACTCATTATCATATAGTTGTTTTTTGTTATGACTAGATCCTGTCATGATTATACCTTTTGAACCCACTTGATCCACCACTTAGCTACCAATCAAACATCAGTCAGTCCTGAAGATAGCATGGTCAGGAAGAAATTTCCTGATGCCATCCACCTTCCATACAGGCTTCTCCAACATCTTCATACTTTTGCTGGCATGGACGATTTGGCTTTGCAAGAAGTCGACTAGTTCATTCTCAGAATGATTGGCGATACCCGTCTCTGAAAGGTTGGTCAAGTGCATCTTCAGCTTGGAAACATTTGCAGATTCCTCTTTATCTGCCAAAGAAGCTTCAAGCTTCAGAAGGCGCTCCCACAAAGTAACCTGCTGAGACAAATCTTCGTCGGTAGTGTTCTTGTCATGTTCCTCATAGATGGCCTTTGTCAGCTCTGCCAATTCGATCAGGCTTGACTCAGAAGCCAACCTTTTCTTGGCAAGGTCCTCCGCCTGCGTGATCAAGGAACCCCCCTGAGGCAGTGAGCTAAAAGTCCAAAAGACCTTCTCGTCTGCAGCAGGCTTCCTGACCTTTTTCACAATCTCCAGGATCTTGTTGGGAAGAATGGTCTTGTCATTGTGCGTCAGAAGGATTTGCAAAGAATCCAACTGCTCAATCATTTTTGCTGGCAAAGGTAGTTGTTCACAAGAAGAAACAGCGGCAGTCAAGAACTTCTGCATGTTGGACACACCTGGCGCTCCAAACCTAGCTTGATTTGGTGTAATCACCCGCAAAAGCTTCTGGATCACCTGCTCGAATGTCATGGTGACTTGGACGATGAAGTACGAGTCATTGGCTGACTCATCTGCATAGTCACTGAGTGCTGCTGACGCTTTCACAGCAACCTTGGCAATCTCATCGTAGCGTCCATACTTGAGAAGGTCCATGATCTGTGCTTTGACAAGCTTCACTGAAGCCACAAGCCCGCAGTTGAAGCCAAGTGTGCTCGTTTGCTCAATTGCAGCTTGCAATTCAGCAGCCTTTGGTGCTGTGTTGGCTAGCTCTCCATACAAGCGAGAAAATATGGTAGCTGTGTTCAACACCTCCTTCATTTTGTCAAGCAAGGTATCATTTGTGACTTGCTTCCGCCTTTTGATCTGCGCGATCTTCGTGCTCAGTTTCCCAATGATTGACTGGCAAATTTGATGTTGTTCTTGTGAATGCTGAATCAGCTCAGACTCATTCTCAATTGTGGTCATAGCCTCATCACACACAGCATCATTCAACTTCTCCTCTTCCTCAGCCAAAACGCTCTCATCCGATTCCTGTGCTGCTGTTGCGCTTACACGTCCACGTGCCTTCTTGATCTTGGGGCTGTGTTTTGGAGAAGCAGCACTTCTCTTTGGCCTTCTTGGTGCCCCTGGAATCCGACTTGGAACAGGTGTAGCCCTTGCAGCGCTATCTTGTTGAGGAGCATCTTGTGGCTTTGGAGCATTGGGAGCTTGTTTGGCTTTGGCTTTTGCGCGTGACTTGGCTTTGGCAGCTGGCTCCCCCTGACCTCCGATGGCTCTCAACAAGCTGGATGTCATATCAAGTCCTTCATTTTCATCATCTGCCTGATTTGGGGTGCTTGAAGGCTGATCATTTCGAGAGTCTTGGTTCTGTGTCTCTGCCCCATCAGGCTGGCTGGATTGGTTGCACAGCATCTTCAACGTAGATCCACCAGAAGATGCTGAAGATGAAGGGTTGTGGATAAGCACAAAGTCATCAGAAGCATCGTTTGCAGATGCCAAGAAGGCTTTGTAGGCCTGATTGTAGAGCCTCTCCGCTTGGTTCTCACGAAGTTCAATGTCGTCAGTAAGACGTGTGTCCAAGGAGACTCCTTGCTTCTGCTTCTTGGAACACTTGTAGAGACCTCTGTCTTCATCTTTCACAATCATGACTCCTTCCATTGTCCGTCCTCGAAACTTCTTTGTGACCTCAGATGGTGAATTGAAAACTGTTGAACAGATGATGAACCTTGATATTATGTTGATGATCCAACAATATGATTTGATTGAACAGTAGCAATCGTTGTCATTGTAGAATTGAGTAGTCTGCTAACATAATAATACTAACAAACAAACAAACAAACAAACAAACAAACAAACAATCAAACAAACAAACAAACAAACAACACAACTAACATATCATATCATATCATAACATAACTTAACAGATATCATAGATATCTCTTTTGCAACAAAACAACTTACAAATAAAACAAATTCAAATACATATATATATAAATATAGAAATCTGAATATACTAAAAAGAACAATTAATTAACAGCCCAGCCATGTGGCGATCTTGTTCTTTGGCGCCGCTCCAAACCTCTCCTCATACATGTCAAGGCGCATGAAGTACTCGACCTCGCCTTCCATCTCATCTTCCTGCAGCAAGCAGTGAAGCACTAAACCAATTCATTGAAGCAATGGCACCCTACAATTTAAAACACATCTACAACAACATCAATGATTTTATATTGAACATTCCTGCATGCAGCATACAGCATACATTCTGTCCTGCTGGTTGGTAATGGTCATAATTCTTGGTGGCACCAGGTCTTCCCTTCCACGTAGATGCATTCCTGGATTCTCCAGCTTCAGACTCACAACCTTTGCCCTGCAGTTGAGAAACTCATGGTGAAGCGATGGCGCTTTGTGTATGGCCACACAATACGCTTGGATGGTGCTGTACTCCGCACTGAAACCACCATGGATGTAGGTATATTTGCATATCCTGGTTCCATGATACAGAAGATCAGCACAGAAAACTCATGAGTGTTTGCTTGATGATGAGTTTGTTCATTAAATTGTCATTAAAAATTATCATGTGGAAAAACACACATCAAATTCACAATATAAATTTCTAATCAGGCCAAGCCACCTGCAGAACACTCCTGCCGGTGATGCTCGCGCGCCTCCTCCCCATTGAATCAGTGCGCCCCATGCTGAGTCATCCCCGATCTCAGAGTTGCTCAAAGAGCTCCGATCACACAGCCTGCAGTACTTGATCCTATAGGTGTCCAGCAAGCCAAACTCCAAACGTTCTTGCTCGGTTGGAACTTCACGAGTGCGTTGTTCACCTTTGACACCCCTGTCAGAAGCAAACTGGCCTGCTATTGACTTAGCACCAGCACCACTCTCGGAAACTACATCATTTATCTCCTTCTGAGACACTGGCAGTTGATGCCTTTTTTTGGGCGCCATGATAACTACAACCGCTTTTCTCAAACAATGTTTCAGTGTTATGTTTCAATGGTTCAGGTCATGAGTTATTTCATGTATGTATATGGTTGCATAAATACTTGTAGTTAAACAGTCTACATCTTGCTTGGTGACCAGTTCGGAGAACTTTTTGCCAAAACGGCTTGTTGTTTCAGACATGACTGACTGTATCACATTGTGAAGCATGCACTCAATTGAATTCACAACAGTACCAGTCTATCGTTTCACAAAGCAGTCCAGATGTTTCCGATGTCAGTTGGTCTTTAGCTTCCCAGGCAAATATCAGGATTGGCAATATTGGGATTGATATAATTGTTGTTATGTGGATTTATGTTTGTATATATATATATTTATGATATATATGTGTGTATACATATGTATATTATGTGTTATCAAAAAATATATGTTATTTTTGTGAAATAACATGTTATTTTTCAATGACATATATCATTACACAAAGTAAACACAAGCAAATCATAAGTGAAACACATGTGCTACACATCAATATTAGTGTTTTTGTTTATGTTTTGCTTATGTATATATATGCTCGTACATATGTTGTATATATGTTTTTGCTTATGTCATTTGCCAAATAACATGCTATTTTGTGTGATTTCATGTTATTTTATGTATTTTATCATAATATAATATGAAAAATCATAAACTAACATATTATTGTCTCACTACCATAAACAGACACATATACGAAACATATATATGTCACAAATAAATCACAAAATAATATGTGTTATATTATGTGAAATGTTTAT